AAATGGTCGGCCCCTAAAGGTAAGTTAACGTTAGTTTGCTGTATCTAAAAATAAACGTGTGAAACTTGGAACAAAGAGATTTTCATAATCCTGAAAGAACGATGCTAATTATTTGAGACATTGGCAATTTGGTTCTATCAACTGACTTGATGGTGAAAATTAGCCACATCTGAGAGTTTCAAAAGCTAAATTAAAAATCAATGTTAAGTTTGTCATCTCTGCAAATAAAAGTGACAGTGAAACTTGGAATAAAGATGTTTTCACAATCATGAAAGTGCGATGCTTATTATGTGGGATAATTTTGTTTTCTCAACTGAGTTAATAAAATAATGTAAATAGTTTCTAAAGCTAAATTAATGTTAGTTTGTTATGTGTGGAGCTAAGAATACAGAAACTGCGACCTCTGATGCTAATTAATGACAGATTCAACTTTTCGTTGTAGATAACGTAGTCTCTATTCTTTAGCAAGATATAGTGTAATTTACATTTCGATAGCATAAAAGACCGTACATATAAAGTTAAATAATGTGATTCTGTATCATACGAAAGCTTCGTGCATTACTAATTATATAATTACCTTTGAATAAGCTCACCCAAAACCTTCAAAATTTTGCAGTTTTTTCGAGTTCTTTCGTCTCACCATTTTATATTAGACTTGACCAAACACTCGGCGTTTTTCTGAGATTTTATCTAAGAGTAGAAAGTCCCGTGCAAACAAATTCATTTTCGTCTGAGTGAGGCATCAGTGGAAGAAATTGGAACTTATTACGGCAGTCCAGGAATTCCTTCAACTCCAATGGTTTCAGTGAAAAGAGATATTCCCTACAATATCTGTACTTCAGAAATAGATTAATTGCGTGGTCATACATGTACAAATGAACACACTGCGTAGAGCTACCTCTGACTTTGAAAAGAAGGGGAAAACGAAAATCACTTATGTCCACTTCACTTGACAACATTGTCAAAACTTGGCAGGTTGTTTACATAACTGGACGACATTGTCTCAAACAATATTCGCAAACATATGGTGCGACAATACTGCAGAGGTTTAGCAGTATATTATTGTCAAAATATTATTATTCTACTGAATGATTGATATGGTACATTGCAAATCCATGGTCACTACTCCTTCTAAGGGAAGGAGCTGATTGTCTTTTCAAAGATCCCAGTAAAATTGTTTTCATTGTTTCGCGAACCCCTCTGAGTCGCCAAGAATACAGAAGAGGATTCAGCGAGGAGTTAATGAAAACCAAAGTCCAAGAAATCTCGAAAGCAATAACAAGCGAATAATTTGTTTTGAACTGGGGAAATATCATTGCTATAGAGATATATGGAAGATAACAGAACAAAAAAATCAAGTACACATAAAACGTGTTGAGGAATGAATTCCGCAATCGCAGAATGTTTACAAATCCTGGGACAGGAATTCTGCGTGTGTGGAGTTGTTCTGGTTGCTGTTGTTGTTCCGCTATCTCCCTCCTGTGCCTGCGTACCACGCAATGAATCTTGAAGTAGATTATGGCATTTACCACTAAGTAGGCGAGCGATGAGGCAGAATATAAGTATTCATCGTGTGCTGGCAGAAACACGGTCATTGTGCAGAGAGAAAAGGCAGATATGCATGCAAAACCCAGGCAGTAACAGACTCGACGAACAGTTACAAGTTCCCTGTATCGTAAATGAAGATGTAAAGCTAAATATCTGTCTACACTGAGAGCGGTGATGGTTAAAAATGAGAAAGAGCAAAGTGCACAAAATAAAAATAATGCCAGTGAATCGAGAATTCCTTTTCCCCAGTTGTCCTTGGAGAAAAACTGGTTGAATCTCCACGCAATGTACAAAGGTTGGACGATCAGGCCAACACAAAGATCAGAGACCGCCAGTCCGATTAAAATGACAGTAGAAGGTGAAATGAGTAAACGGTTCTTGGTAAACGAAGCTAAGACCAGCGAATTTCCTGCAACAGCAACCAAACAAAATGGAATATTCAGGGCAGCATTTATTACAAAAGGCACCGGGTTTTGGTCCATTTTCAGTTCTGCAACTTCGCTCGATAACGTATTCCAGTCATAAAAAGCCAACTTGAAATAGTTTGATCATCGAAGCTATTCCATAGAAACAGCAAAGGTTCGTAATCTTCCAGAAACTTTCGTCGTTATAGAGATATTTCCTGCTCTAGATGGCTAAAAAATCTAAGTTATCAATAAGAGTGAATTTGTTCATCAAGTGAATAAACATCAGAGATACCAATGTCAATACTATTTGCATCTTAAGCAGCTTCTACTGCAGCTGCACTCGTTTTATTCCCACAGCTCTTATAAAAGACAGAAAAGGATGAAGCGTTCTAAATACCAGCGGCTACTTGAAGCTTTTGTTCCAGCGGCACCAAAAATACACCAGTTTTGTAAAAATATTTTTGCCACAGCTAAAATTGCAAAAAAGACGAAACGAAAAAAAATGTTATCTTGAATCTCTGAGAATTCTTCAATATGCGCGACATTCCAAGTGTACGCAAACACAATACATGGCAGACTGAGCTGCTCTCGACAGCAAACAGCCCTGCCATATTTGCCTAAAAATTTGACAGCTTTTTTTTTTGGCTTGTTCATGGCTTGTTTGAAAGTAATATAGTGTCGCAGGGAGGAAATTACGTTAACTCCATTCACCACCAAATGAGTGGTTCTCAAAGCATCCACTGAAATTACAATCAGAGAAACTACATATAAGATACAATGAATATATAAGGTTCATATATTTTGAACTGCGGTATTAGATATGTATGATGCACGATCCTCGCAGTAGATAGCGCTATTTATGCAATAGCGAAAATCAATTGGTAGAGCGCTGCACTAGTATCGCAGAGGTCAGTGGTTCGAATCCCGTACAGGCCTGATTTTTTTCAGGTCTGATTTTCGCTATTGCTTAAATAGCGCTATCTACTGCGAGGATCGTGCATCATACGTATCTAATACCGCAGTTCAAAATATATGAACTTCATATATTTCATTGTATCTTATACAGCCATTGTCGAAATTCTAATTAAAATAGAAATTCATATTCTACTCGAAGTCTTCCTTGGCGTTGCCGTCCTTACTGCTTAAGGTCCCTACTAAGAGAATACCTATTACCAAATATGCTTCGATACTAAACGAGCGATTTCCGGAACATGAGTACAAATATTGCGAAATGAGTTACATTTCCTGTGAATGCAGTTG